TAGGTGTCTCACGCCCACATAAGGGTTTAAATATATCATTGCACTTGACTGTAGTATCTTCTGTTCGCCTTTTCTTGGATGCTGTTTCAATCTGTCTCACTTCATGTTCATCATTGACTCCTCCAGTCCCACCTTCAGTTATGTAGAGTTCTGTGTAAATCTCACTGAGAAGTGTTGGCTGTCCTCCCTTAGCTTTCCCTTCAAATACACGCTCAAATTTCTGCTTCAGTGTTATTCTGTACTGACACTGGATGAGTTCCTCTGAAGAAAAATGAGAGGAAAATTCAAATTCTCATCATGATCCTGACCAGAATGAGAAGAACGATATTAAAAACACACATTTGTATTCATATCTTCGTCGGGACTGTTCAGTCATTTCCCTAATAAAAACAATGACAGCCTTAACCCCTACTCAGCCCTAACCTTAAGCATAAGTAAGCAAACAAAATACCAGACTTTTGACATTTCTAGTTTTTCGATTGCAGTCACAGATTCAGACATTATATTGAGGCTCCCTGTAGTTGGGAGCCCACACACACAGACTTTTTCACCATTTGTTTCAATGAAACTTTAAATTTCACATCCTACATATTTTTCCTGAAGCCCCAAATATCTGTACAGCAGTTCCGGTCCTAGCTGATGTGGAGCCCTAGGAGAGCATCACCACCGGCGCCCCCTGCTTGAGGCAAAGTGAAACTGGCTGGCTAGTCGGCGCCCCCTCAGAAGGTGGTGCCCTAGGCGGCCGCCTATGTCGCCTATAGAACTGACCGGCCCTGGCTGGGGTGTCATTAAACCCGGCCAATAACAGCACCTAAGCCAGATTATAACTTTCTAAACACAAAGTAAACAGCTAGAGAAATTACAGCTGGCTGGCATTCAGGCACAAAACCTCATTCAATGAGCACGTCGCTCACATGATAATGCTGTTTGCTGTGCATATAAAACTAATCAGTAATAAAAATGCAAAGGTTTTAAACTATTAGTTAAAAAGGGGGATGGGAACAGAAAAGCATTTTATTTGACTATTACAGTTTACTATCCTGAGACAGACACAGTGGATGGATCATGCAGGTGGAGGAGAGGAACCAAAACCTCCCAAGTAGGAAAAAAAAAACCTCTGGGGGTCCAAGGTCACCTGGCTGCCCCCCCCCCCGGCATGATAACAGTATAGAAAAAGGAGGAGTGGGCTTGCTTGCTAAAAGCAAAGTGTAAACTACAGAACAGCATCCAGCTCTTACTCTGCTCCAATATGTCACCCAGCTCACTTCCTGCTTGGGGACCTGAAATAAGGAAGAATTTCAGACTCATTTCTGTCTCTGTATCTAACAAGCATTTCCCATATAATGTAATACAATATGACAATATGTTAACTTTTCAAGAGCTTAAAAAGGTTATAGTTTATATGAAAAACGAGAAAGGCTAATTATATGCCTACACTTCTTCAGGTCTTTATTCAGTTTCTGAACGAGGTTATTCAAGTTCATCTTACTCAGGATTTCAAGCGTGAGACTAAGAGCATCAGCTTCACTGTAGGAAGTTATCATCTTGTCGGCGAGGTCTGTTCTGTCCAATTTCTCCAGCTGACCCCTGGGAATGCGCTGATACTTTTCATTCACCAGGTGAATCAGGTTATATTTAAACTTCTTCAGCTCATCTTCCGTGAGCTCCTCCAGAGAACGCAGCAAGAGGACGGCGGGCATGGTCTGGGTCTGCAGAATGTCAGAGATGAGTCCATGAGACTCACAAACCCGTACATGGTCACTCCCACACATGCACTGACCTTTCCGTTAACAGAAGGCAGGTTTCCTGCTCACAGTCTTATATGTCTGCAGGAGACACCTGCTGTGATTCTTTCATTACTATAAGAAGCACACGTGTGTGATTATATTCTAAATTATTAAACTTTTATTTAACCAGGTTAGTCCCACTGATGTTTAAAATCTCTTTTAAAAGAGAGACCTGTCCAATTTAAATAGCAATAAAAATACCCAATAGAGCACATTAATACAATAGAGTCAAAATCAAAATAGACTAAAAACATCATGTTAACACAGCATTCAATATAATTATACATATTTTATATTAAGTTATGCTAAGTTATATTAAGTCTAAGTTATTCTGTTCTGTTACAGTACGTCTGTAACATTTGGTGCAGTGTGGTATGGTAAGGAAGTAGCCTGAGGAAGAGCACTGCGGAGAGTGAGCTTTTTGTCTGCTAAGTTATTCTGTTCTTTTACAGTATGTCTGTAACATTTGGTGCAGTGCGGTATGGTAAGGAAGTAGCCTGAGGAAGAGCACTGCGGAGAGTGAGCTTTTTGTCTGCTAAGTTATTCTGTTCTGTTACAGTACGTCTGTAATGTTTGGTGCAGTGCGTTATGGTAAGGAAGTAGCCTGAGGAAGAGCACTGTGGAGAGTGAGCTTTTTGTCTGCTATTTTCAGCAACCTTCAGCCCAGAATAGTTACTCATCTTAAGCTTTCCTGCCTTTCAGTGTCAGGTTTTTACAGACAATATGCATCATATGCTGAGACATTATAGCCAAACCTCTGCATGGGAATGATGAGCCATTGCTTAGATGATTATGGCTGTAAAGAGACCAGTTCCTGTGTATCACAGTCTGACTCTGTAATAAAAACCAAAGATAATGTTAGCTTTATATTCAGAAGTCACTTTACCAGCTGTAATATCTTTCAACCAAAGCAAACGGGTCAGTTTTTGCTTACACAGACAGTTTATAATCACAGACATAGAAGTCCACTGATCATTTGGACTAATAACTATGGGCCGTATTCTACCGTGTGCTTAAGTTAAAAAAGTGTGTAGCCATTGACATGAGCGCTGTAAGCACCTTTCCAACTATATGCTCTGAAGGGCTGTATTTGTCACAGAACAGGGTTAACAGACTACAGTAATAATAATAGATACTTCATTGGTCCCCATGAGGAAATTCCCTTTATGCCTCCCCCCCCCCTTGGTAGGTAAGCGTAAGCTGACTGCAAAGGGCAGCCACCCACAGCAGCACCCAGAGAGGTGGGGGTTAAGGGCCTTGCTGAAGGACCTGCAGATGTGCTGAGACCAGGCTTGAACCAACAACCTTCTGACCACAGGCATGGAGGTTTAGCCCACTGAGCCTTAGCTACTGGGACCTGGTACTGAATAACATGGGGAGTACTGGCACCTGGTACTGAATAACAAGGGGAGTACTGGCACCTGGTNGGCACCTGGTACTGAATAACAAGGGGAGTACTGGCACCTGGTGCTGAATAACATGGGGAGTACTGGCACCTGGTACTGAATAACAAGGGGAGTACGGGTACCTGATACTGAATAACATGGGGAGTACTGGCACCTGGTGCTGAATAACATGGGGAGTACTGGCACCTGGTACTGAATAACATGGGGAGTACCAGCAATTGGTACTGAATAACATGGGGAGTACTGGCACCTGGTGCTGAATAACATGGGGAGTACTGGCACCTGGTGCTGAATAACATGGGGAGTACCAGCAATTGGTACTGAATAATATGGGGAGTACTGGCACCTGGTGCTGAATAACATGGCGAAAACCAGTAAACTACATTTCCTTTCAGTAAGATTTACATCCTGTTATCACTTATTGCACATTGAATCCCATTCAGTTTCACTGAAAAATCCCAAACAACATTATTTAACTCCAAAAGCCTCATTGTAAGAGCAACTGTATTGTTTTGTAAATTCCCTCCAAAGGTTGTTTGTAATGTTATGTTTTTATGCATTAATAACCCACATAGCAACTGATTCTGGGTCAGATCTGCATGCGACATCCAGGCAGGACAGTCTGCACCAGAATCTGTCCAGAGCACTGAATGATTACCGTTGGTCTGTATTTGCTCTGAAGATCCAGCATGCATACGCCTAACCATATACTCAGTGTTGGGGAAGTTACTCACAAAAGTAATCCATTACAGACAGATGTAGGAAGTTCTGGTCCAGAAGGTACAAATCCAGACCAAGACTTTGTTTCAACCAAGCACACTGGAAAAAAAATAATAATTCAAATGAATTAAGTTGAATCATGGACAGTGTTTCCATCAACCTAGAATGAATATTCTGAGAATGAAACATTCTTTTTAAATTGATGGATTGACTTTGTGTTGAGAACAGAACATAGCTGAGTTAATCTCACTCATTTTCTCGTCTAATTAAACCAACTGAATCACTTTCATTCCATTTAAATTAGGTATATAATCTAACAGCATATGTGGGTCATTTCACCCCCCGTCATGAAGAAGACTCTGCCAAACACTGACCTTACAGGATGTAGTTTAGTTATAGGAAAAGCCAAACAGCTGTGATTGTTCATGAAAAGCCCCCTGGGGGTGTATTTGTTGATGTGGGGGTGTTTTCATTACCAGGTGGCTGATGGGTAATATATGCAGAAGGATATTAGCAGAGCTGTGATTCGCTCTGCAGTGCAGCTCCTGGAATATTAGCAGAGCTGTGATTCGCTCTGCAGTGCAGCTCCTGGAATATTAGCA